AGGCCGTTGTCAGTTCCAACCAGTTGGAGTGTTTGGAAATCGGCCTGCTCTATCGCCCCTACACCTGCCATCTTAGGCAATGGGCCCTCTAGCCCTGGAAACTGGCATCCAAAGTAAGAATGATTCAGTCACCTGACGATTATCGTACGATAATAGCGGGTGATCCCGCGATCGTACGATAATCTTAAGGTGTATGGGCAGCGTGCGACCGCATATACTGTAAGGTCGCTAGAAAACCGAAGAAAAACGTTGGTAGCGCGATCGCAAGACGAAAGCCGCACGGGCAGAGGTGCGCAAGCGCACACTGCCTGCTCACCATTGCAATAATCTGGAAGCCCTCCCCTGAGCGGGGAGGGCATGCGATGATCACAAGTACGATCTGCCTGTCCAAGATGGGCAGGTCGTACCAAATTTTAGTCACCTTACAACCATCGCACAACGAAAGTCGTGGGATGACTGTAAGGTGTATGGGCAGCTTAAGGGATAGAGCAGAGAGCTTGTTGCTTGTCAGAATCAGGCGAAGAATAATGACGGCATGAATTGTGCGTATTGCAATCACCTGCATTCGAACTGGGGCCCCCTGTGCTGGAAGCCAGAAGAACTAACCACTGCGTTGCTCTTTTATGGAGCATGGTTTGGGACCCAATGAGACAGTATAACCTTACAGGTTATGATGAGAACAGACTGAAGGAATCAAAAAGCCCTAAGTGTGTAACACAGTAAAGACTTAGAACAGAAGGTATTCACTTCTCATTCTATCACATAACCTAAAAATAAGAAGATAATCCTCTTATTTTTGGGATATATGATGGAATGAAACGTGAATACCTTCTGTTCTAAGTCTTTACTGTGCTATGCATTGGTTTGCTTGGAGGGCTTCTTGATTCCTTTAATCCCTGCTCACCATAACCAGTATGATTATACCGTCTCCCTGTGAAGTTACTTTAGGAAGCTGCATTCCTCTGTGTCTTGGAATCATATAGATAAAAGCCTTGCAGTCCTGTTGTAGCATTTAGCTTTGTTTTTGAATCCTTTGTTTCTGTTTTACTAGGCCAGTTTACATGCAGTAAGGTAGCAGATGGATGCTTGTCATAGTTGGGATGGAGAGAAAATGACAATCTTAGGTCTTATTTTCGGGGTAGATCTTATATTACAGAAATCACTGAAGATAGCGCTAGGTCTTACTATCGGGGTAGGTCTTACTTTCGGGGAAACACGGTAGCTGTGAACCCTATGCCATCAATTGCTATATATACGGTATGTAGTGAGCGCTGCCTTCCATCTGCCCATCACTTTCACCAGCTTCCTGGATTCCCAGTGTGCTTTGTGTCTCTTTCCCTGCAGCTTGATGTGATGCAATCTCCATTTCTCATGACTACATAGCCCATCATGCATTGCTTCTAGCAGGCAGTGATGATGTTCCATTGTGGGCATTTTCTGTGTTCATTGTGAGAGAGTTGAGTTGTAGATCCGACAGCAGGCTAATGGTGGTGATTATTAGGAGTGAGATATAACTTATGGAAATTCAAGATAGAAATACAGATATATTTTTTGTTTTTGACCATGCATACCCTCTAAGTACATTTTTTAGTAGTAGATTTTTTTCTTTCAGCCCAAAAGTTGAATGTAAACCATAACTGGATGCTAAAGCACTGTATATTATTAGCAATTACCATGTTCCTTTTTTTTCCATAAAATACTGTTTTCCTGCCTTGTCATCCTATTTTGCATCTCATTGGTGCTGACTTCTGCAAGGCTCCATCAGCTACCTCCCATGTATATGCATTTGCTCCAGTGTTGTCAGCATGTCATTGCTTTGGATTAGCCTGCTAAAGGTGCCCATACACTGTGCGATTATCGTACGATAATCGCAAAGTGTATGGAAGGCGTGCAACCGGTTTCACTATACGGTCACACGTCTTTTGTCTAAGGAGCATGTTCGAAAACCAGTCGAAAATTTTACGATTTTCGGCTGGTTTGTGGCATGCTCGGGAGACAAATGCCGAACAGGCCGGTGTGCACACGCGCACACTGCCCGTTCAGCATTGCGGTCATCGGAAGCCTGCCCCTCGGTGGGGCGTGCTTGCGATGATCGCAAGTACGATCTGCCTGTCCAAGATGGGTAGATCGTACGTTTTTTAAAATTACTTTACAACCCTCGCAAGACTAAGGTCTTGCGAGGGTTGTAAAGTGTATGGCCACCTTAACACTGACAGCGATGGACTGTACCTGCAGAGTGTGACAGCTTAGCTGCATATTATATTGCAGGGGCACAACTGGGAGACCGTTATTTCCTCATAACGAGGATAGCCTGAACAAGGACCCACATGGCAGGATCAATTAAAGCTTTGGCTCTTATTAATGTAATGCAGTCTAGATGTATAAACTGTTATAAATGTGGGCGTATATTTTATTTGTTTTACTTACTATTTGCTGCAGTGAAGTTTAGAATACCCACATAAGGAAAATCAGCATTGGATTATCGAAGACTGAAAACATTGAATATCAGTTATGGCTACTATCTTACCCTCATGTTCCATAATCGGTTGCAAGCACTGTGAGTAGTTTACCATCGAGATGTATCTTACATGACTGTTGTTATATCATATACAGCCAAGAGTGCAAAACACTAAGGGGTGTATTTATAAACTGTTTGTAGAGCGAACAAGTATCACAGTGCATTAAGGCCACTAGATACATCGAAGGAGCATAGTGTGCTCTTCATCTCCATCTAGTGGCCATAAAGCGCTGTGAATCTCATTTGCAGAGCTGGCCACTGTGCAAAGGATTATACATAAACCCCAAGGTAGAGATATCCGGATACCGCTACTAGCATCGGTATCGGGACCGATACAGAGCATTTTGACAAGTACTTGTCAAAATGCCCTCATACATAGCGCCGAAGCTTGCACTGTTTGTTTTTTTCTTACCTCGCTGAGCGTCGCGTCACTGCTGCTCCGGTGGGCGTCGCTCCAGGTGGGGTCCTAATTTAGGTGGCCGTCGACTGCCCAGAGGACCCCACTCGGAGCAGCAGTGACGCGACGCTCTTCAGCTCAGCTCCGGAGAGCAGCGTCGAGTCAGCGCTGGTCCGGTGGGAGGAGCTCCAGGTGAGATCTTAATTTATCTGGCCAGCACCTCTGGGCCAGCTAAACTAGGACCCCACCTGGAGCTCCTCCCACCAGACCAGCACTGACTCGTCATTGCTCTCCCGCACAGTGAGTGAGGGCAGGGGGGGCACTATTAAGCAGGGGATAAATGTAAATCTATGGTCTCCAGTGTATTAGCAGTATTATACGAAGAGACAGAATCAACTGAAAAGCCTAAATCTACAACAGAACCGTGGAAGGTTCCCTTAAATGTTTGGAACAACCTACCAGCCGAGTCCTTAAAAACTGTGCAAAAATACCGAAGATAATTGATGTGCCGTTTCAAATGTGAAGGGCGGACCCACAAAATATTGATTTGATTTTTTTTAACTTTTTATTATTTGTTAATTGAATAATAAAAACTATTTATTGCAAATATCTTTAAAGTATTCTTAAATACAGCATTTTTCACAAGTGTTAAGACATTTGCACAGTACTATATATATATCCATATATAGATATATATATATATAATCTATATATACACACACACACAATACTGGATCTACTTTCATAATTTAGATAACAGTATTCCTGTATGTAAACCACCCTTTGTACCTAAAAGCATAGAAATGATCCACGTCTTGAAAATACCACCTTTAACTTAAGACGTGTTTGTATGTTGAAGTCCTTTGACGTATCTGTTCCATTTCAAATAAGGACAGTGTGAAATTATGGCTCTGTAATTAGCAGCTCAGCACCGACCTTGCAGGCACACACAAGCTCTAGGGACTTTTCTGTCTCCGGGCTATGTTCTTTACTTGCTGTCAAAGTCACATGAAATGTCTTTAGAAGTCCTCATGCTGAGCCATTTATTTAACAGATTGTGGGTGACAAAATAAAAAACACAATTTCTCGTGTACATCTATTATAACGCAGATGTCTATTTAAAGCGGAGCTCCAAAAACACATTATTGATGATGTGTATTTAATACATCGTTAAATGTATTTATTTAAATGCAGGCATTGTAATTACCTGGATGTGACTTGGCATTAGCCTCCCGAAATTCAGCAGCACCCAGACGGGTGGGTTGCAAGCTAGTTGGCCAATGAGGTTGTACTGTGAGGGATGCTGGAACTGACATCATGTGCAAAACTAGTGATAGTGCTTGGCTTAGTGCAAACTCAGATTGCCTTAGTGTGCCCCAAGCCCACTCAAAACCTCATAACCCAAATCAGTTGCTGCAAGGTGCATTTCCCACAGCAACAAGTCACAAAGTGGAGAGGTGCACTCCTGCCACAACTGCGGCCATGGATTGGGAGGGGGGGCTGGCGGACAGACTTTTGAGTGGGCTTGGCTGAACTCAGGAAAACAGTTTGCACAAAGCCCAGCCTCATCTTTAATCAGGACAACCATTCGATCTGCACATAAAAGCAATATGTAAAATACATTGTAACAATATTGTTACAATGTATTTATGAACGCTGTTTGCAGGCTCCCTTCATACAGGAGTGGGCTATCTGTTCTCGTGTCCCAGAGTGGGACCTGGTTGTCAAGCTCTAAGCCAGGTTCCACCAATTTTGGCAGGTAGGGTATCTGCAGGAAGCCCTAGGTTTTTTTTTAGGCATGCCTTCTACACCAAAAGCTATGAAGTATAACTTCACTCTTTTATATATGCCCTGTGATTGGCCATCTGCCCACCTAATCAAACTTCCTAATTGTAATTCAGACCTCGGGCAAAACTAGCTCCCATTTCAACTGGTCTGTACAGGGCATGACAGTGGCCATCACCTCCTTAGCTGCAGCAGCAAGCACAGCCATAGGAAATGTTCGCTTTCTTGGGCAAATGCACCGAGCTATAGCCTGGCCGGCTCTCTAACCAGAGAGAAATAAATACACCAGACACGTTATAAAACACAAGGTTTTTCATAAAATTTATTGTTTTGTTTCTTATATATATAGATCTGTATATAGGTACTTAAAGGAGAGGCTTTGTTTTGATCAGCAGCAAGCAAGACGTACAGGTTTGAGTTGGTGTGGTACGGCAGGTAACCCTTCGCTAATGCCCATTTGCGCGTTGAGTCGCGCACAGATTTTTCCCGAGCACCTCCTTTCTTAAGTGTACTGTAAGGCAGTGGGTTTATTTATACGTTTTCTACTTTTAAAACAAGAGTATTTGATTTATTCTTAGTGTGAGTTATGTCACATGCAAATAAAAATGCCTTGCCTCCAGCCAGCACTGCAAAGCTTCGGCAAAATATCATTGACGCGTGCCAGTCTCAAGCATAGCATGAGGGCAGCCATTTTGTAAGTGGAACCAAGTCGTCCTGAGAAAGCAGCTTATCGATTTGAAATAGAAATATATGTGACATCAAGAAGGCAGGAAGTAATAGCACTGGTGCTATTTAAAGTGGTCTAAATACTTGAAATGTGCCTGAATTTTCCCTGAATGATTCTGAATAGTTACTGTATGCAACAATTCTACCTCCAAAAGCTTACAAAATGGCTGCCTTCACGGTGCTTAACTAACATGCACACTTTTCTCCATCTGGAAGTCAATCATAAAAAAAAATTTACAACTTATTGTGTGTGTTATAGCCAGAGTAGCAGACTTTTTCTTTGTGTGTTGGTGTAGTTGAGCGTTTTTTTTTTTTTAATTTGCTTATCTTCCTGGGAAGCAATAACGTTTTAAGCGTCAAGACAAAAAACACAGACACAACTTTAGAAAGTGAAATGACAGTAACAGCAATGAAGGCTCCCTGTATAAGGAGCAATGAAAACATTTGTCATTTTTTTTTCTCCCTTTAGGCTGAGACTAAGATCTGGGAAGATACGTTGATGATTAATTTTTAAAAAACAGAACTTAAGTTATCCATAAGGCTCTTTAAAGAGGCAGTTCCTGGAACACCAAAGTGGAGGAATAAAAAAAAAACAAAAAACAACCCCCCCGCCAAAAAAAAACTTGGATAAGCCTTCATATCTTAAAAATACTACAGATATTTCTCCGGAGAGTAGATGGCCACCAGGCATCTGACACCCCCACATATACAAGCTTGCTACCCAACAGGGCCATATGGGGTGTCTGTCTACCATACATGAGTGTAGCTTTGCACCAGTTCTAGTTAACTTTGCTCATTGGCTGACCCACTGATACTTGCTTCCCCCCAAAATTCCCAGTGCTGCCAGATATGGGAAAGCATGTGACCTCCACCCACAGTGCAGTGCTTGGCCCTTGTAGCCAATCTCTGAGCACTATCACGTGGTGAAATTAAGGGGACACTGTCAGTTGCTATAATTTGGGGCAGCTGAAAGAGCGGTGGGGGAGCTCTATGAAGAAGAGTATGAGTTGGTCAGGGTGGAGGCTTTAAAGAGTCTGTCACAGACTCTTCACCCAAGTTCATACATTAAAGCCTAGTTAATAAGGCCCATTAGCAATTTACAAAATTTTGGAACCTTAGAAACCAACTAGTAATAATCTCATATTATTGTGACCGTCTTGGACTGAATATAGGTTAAATCTGATTGGCTGCTGTAGTTCGATCATTGCCCCCTGCCTTTCCTGGTTACATAAGCATGTTTCTCACTCACATATGGCATTAATGGTGCAACTTTATTCCAAAACTGTGGTGTCATGCACAATTTTGCATTTTCCTGCCCCAGTGAGCTCAGCTCTGTCCAACTAAAGGCGAGCAAGGGCAAGCTGGAAACACCAAAATAGAAGGTTGAGTTATCAAAACAATAGAGGTTTTGCTTTACATTACTGTGACTGCAAAACCAATATATAAGAGTTTTTCATTTTTGCAAAAAGCTAGAGAGGAGGGGATTTAGCAAATAAAATTACTTTAAAAACAAAGCTGGCAAAATGTAGAGCCACATACTGCTTCCAGCAATGTAAAAAAAACTTTATTAAATCAAGCAACAGAGACACTCCACCAGCTCCTCACCTTGACATGTTTCACACCTAGTGGGGCTTAATTGTAGAGTTGTCGTCTCTCTACTGCTGCTTGTCCAATAAATTTAAGCGCAAAGCTTTGCCGGCACCCACAACAGGAGAACTGTGTAGGGTCCTTGAGCGGGAATCTGGATATGAGAGTAAAAGTAAAAAAAAAAAAAAGGTCACCTAATTAAGCAACACAATAAATCCTGGTGTTCTGAAACTGCCTCTGTAAGTTGCCAGGAACAGGACTACTTAAAAGGCCCCGTACACACTGCTTGAAGTGGCAACAGACAGCACTGCCTATTTGGCATACCATTTATAGCATCCTGACCATACGTTGTGTCCTCAATCATTGACTCTTTTAATGCAAGCTCAGATCTAAGTCTCTGTTTTAGCTGGCCCAGTCTTTGTAAAGCATCACTCCACCCGCGTACTGGTGGACAGTGGTGGACTAACTCAGCCATCATATTTGTGCATGTCTCTGGGATTCCAGATCTGTGGTGGGGTCTCAATCCCACTGCACCAGGAAGTCTCAAGGTTGCCTGTGGCGGTATCTGTAATGTAAAACAAACCAACCATACAGTTGGAAGAATACAAGTCCTCTCATAGTGACCAAGGGTGAGCAGAGATAAGGCGCTGCACCATTAACTTTCTCTAGTCAAATAGGAGCAAAATTTGGGTCAGATGGCTCTTCACAAAATGGAAGGCCCTTTTAGATCTTTTCACAACAAGGATTTCCAGACCTGTCTGAGAAATAGGATTGTGACCAGGGGCTTTAAGTTTAGATGCCATCAGTGTTTTATTCATTGCTGAAGCCCTGATGAAAGGGAATTCCTGACCCCAAAATGCCTATTATGATGATGGCAGTCAACAGGGGATGCAGAGATAGCACAGCACGAGTATTCCAAAACTATAATAAATCTTCTCCAATCATCAAGGTCTTCTCAAAACAGAGGCATCATCATTTAAATGACTGATCTTTTAAAACTCACGCCTGGTGCATTTCATGGTCAAGATGCTTTAAAGAGCTGAAGGGTAAGGCAACTCCATCTGCCACAAGCAGTATGTACAAGGTCTAATTGTAGTGATCTCATGACCTAGGACAGGCTAGATGCTGTAATGATCTCATGACCAAGGACAGGCCAGATGCTGGATACATTCATAAGTGATCACAAGCTGTGATTTTGTGCTGAAATTGCAGGATATTTAAAGTCTGGTCTGCGAATGGCCAACGGTCTAGAAACCTAGGGTCCCCTTGTCTCTTTAATGTCTTTCAGCTCATCTCTATACAGTTAATGTGTGGAATGTATGTTGGCTGGCAGAAACTTCATCATTATAAAGTCTGGGACCATTGAAAACTGATCCCCTAAATGTAGTATTTGGTGCTTTCTGTCTACCAGGCTTCTTTATTAAGGCAGTGTAAACCGCAATGACTGCATGGCACTGCACTGCAACTAATCAGACCAATTTTCATTAACTGCTATAGGCTGCTGAAATTCAATCTCTGCATTTTGGTACTGCATGAGCTTACACTGTAGAAATAATTCAGACCTTCAGTATATAAGTGCAGCCATCACATTTGTCCAACAAAAGGAGCCATTTTGTGTCTTGAATGGACATTCAAGCTTAGCAATTCACTGGTCATATCACTAAGCCACAACATGGCTACTTCCCCTATGAACGCATGGCTGGTACACTTAAATTATCCAGTATCATTAATAAAAGAGACGTGACCTACATAGGTTGACCGAGGATCACTTAAAAGCAGTCCTGTTATGATGGTTGTCCCCTTTTGCTGTCAGAGAAGGCTGGATTTCAAGCCACTACAGTCTCCTCTGGCAGAGCTGGGGGGGGGGGGGGGGTACTGTGACGTAACTGGTCACCCCACTGCTGAAGCAGTCCTTCTTTATCATACTGACTTCTCCAGCAGTGAAGGTAGTGTCAGTTAAAAGGAAGAGGAGGATGATGGTTTTGGAGATCTTTTGTCAGCCTGCCCTGCTACACATTCATTCGATCTTCAGCAGCTCCACATCGAAGATCAGAGTAGCGTTGGGGGGTATGACTCCTGGGTGTCCCGTGGCTCCATACGCTACGTCAGGTGTGCAGGTTAGTTTTGCTCGCTGGCCCAGGCTCATCTGGAGATGGAAAGGAGAGAGTGGTTTATAACTATGCAATCTCAATAGAGTTTACCATTCACGCTTAAGGTTAGTAATCATACAGGGTGTCCCAAATGTCTGGATCCATTGGAACAATGTAATGAAAAGTGTTAGCACAGCAAATGCTCAAATGAATGGCCTTAAACCCTTTGACACTTGTGCTAATGCTGAATACAAGACTGGTACGGTTGTTCGGTTGATTTCCATTTGGGTTGTTCTCAGACCAGTTACATGCATTGCACCAGTTGACACCTTTAAGATGAAATGACGCTTCATCACTGTAAATCCGCATACATTTCTGCTGTTCTAAGGACTACTCAAAATGTTCCATACACCATTCTGTGTCATCACCATTCAGTTCCTGGATGAGCGGCACTCTATAGGGATGGAAAAGACGGCTTCTAATAATGGGATACTTGTACATCCAGGCTTTTGGCATACCATGTATATCAGGGGTAGGCAAACTCCGGCCCTCCTGCTGTGGTGAAAAACACAAATCCCATCATGCATCTACCTCTGGGAGTCATGCCTGTGGCTGTCAGTCTTTAAATGTGTAATGGGATTTGTAGTTGCATCACAGCTGGAGGGCCGTAGTTAGCCTACCCCCCTTCCCATCTATGGTAATGTCTCCCCAGGAACTCCAGCACTCATGCTATTTCGTGCACACAGGTTGTCAACATCGCAGCAGGTTATCAAAGTAATTACGCAACTAAAGATGTGGAAAACAAACTGGTTACTTAGTTCAGGGGGCCAGGCAGGAAAGAGAAGTGCATTTATCCTTGAAGACTAATAACATTTTACACGCTACATGTTATGTTCTGGAAAAGTTCTAGCCTTGCTTGTTCCATGCAGAGAATACCAATCTATCTCCTCCACAGCCACAGATCTTCAGCCTAAAGTCTTGCTCTACCTCAGAGACAGTTAATGCTGAACCTCAGATATGCAATAGTTTGCATACTTGCATAGGTCCAGGTTGGCCCAATCGAAGGAGGCATTTGCCATACCTCATCGGACCCTGGAGATAATGTACAGCACTGTAGTAATCAGAGCTACTACAGTGTTGCCCGCTGCTTTCACCTTTGCTTTGGAAACACAAGGGGAAGCTTGCTTGGTGCAGTGGCCATTCAGAGAACACTTAGTATTTTTTTTATCAATAAGTACAAGGCGTTTTCTGATTGGATGAGGGGCAGATTGTGATGTCACCACCCCTCATCCATTCAGAAAATGCCTTGTATTCATTGATAAAAATACTAGACAATCCCTGGAATGGTTGCTGTGCCGAGTGAGCAACCCCCTGTGTTGCTCGCTTGGCACAGCAGCCATACAGGGAAAGCTGCTCAGCACAGCGCAGTACTGGAACCTGGAAGGTCACTGCAAAGCACTGAAGCAGCTCAGGATCTCCACCGGCTGATCAGGTATGGCATGTGCTGTAGATCCTCAAATCATCTCTGAATTGGTGGTGACACTGTCCTTCCTTCTGGAGGGGGGCTACTTTTGCTCCCCATGGTCCCTGTGTGTGTTGTAAGGTAGTCACTGCTCCAAGCTCACTCCCGGGATGGACTACAATCTCAATACAAACGAGTTACCGTAAATAAACATGACATTGTAGTCCATCACAAGAGTGATCTTGGAGCGGTGACTACTTTACAACACACACAGGGACCATGGGGAACAAAAGTAGTCACCCTCCAGAAGGAAGGACAGTGTCAGCACCAATTCAGAGATGATTTGAAGATCTACAGCCGAGTGATACACAAATAAGGTACTTGAATGTATTTTTAAGAGTTAACAAGTTTAGTGTCATTTTATATAAATTATCTTGCAGCCCCAAATCTACAGAAAAGTAGAAACAAGGTGCTTGCAAAGTAGAAACTAAACCTTGCAATGCCACAGTGTCCACAAACACATACAGCTCCCGTCAGAGGCATTTCAGGAATGACATGGAGTCTGTGTCAGCAGCAGTGAGACTGGATTATGAGAAAAGTGGGATGAAAATAAACAGAGACGGAGGGGGTCGTAAAATCTTCTGTATTAACATTTAAAAATAGCACCGTCATTTATAAATCTGCCACTTTAGGTAACGGCAAGCGGGTACATGTCTGTAAATATAGACGATAAATGACTGAACCTCAGTTACAAGTATAAAAAAAAAGCATCTCCGAGAGCTGCAGGCAAGAGATATGCATTACAATGACCTGACACAGAAGACATAACAAAATTGGTGTCTTGTTTTCCCGTATAAGCTGCATAAGAATGTGCTTTCATTTTTATGGGACATGGACATGGTTGCCAAGTCTACTCTTCACAGTTTACAAGAGGTCCATAAATTCAAATAATTTTATGAAAGGAATCCCTGTTAGATTTTACTCAGAAGTCACTAAAATGTATCATGCAGGCAAAACTTTAGATGCAGTGGAGAAGGGTGAGAACTTTGGTCAGTTTTTGCTACTCTGTGACCCCATCGGGAAGACTGTCCTTACTTTCTGTACTGGTGACAGCATGAGAGTAAAATGATGGGCAAGAATCTCTGCCAGGTTTCATTACCTCCCTAGCTTATGTTGAGATTTCCCATACTTCCTGTCCTTGTGACAACATTGTCCCTGCGACTGAAGTAAATAAACGGGTCTTACCCTTTTCCACTCTATCAAAAAAAAAAAAAGAAGACTTTGTGGCTGAATGGACAGACACTTAAAGTAACACTAAACTCAGGAGTTAAATCTTAAAATTGCATTCAAGTACCTTAAAGTGACATTAAACCCTAAGATTTTTTAACATAAAACAATACTGTAATGGGCGCCTTACTGTAATCCATGGTTGTTTCCCTTCTCTTTGCTGCTCTTCCTTTTAAATCTGTATCTGTTCTCATGCTGGGCAGAACTTCTGTTTTGCAGCAGACTGCCTTGTCTCAGGAATGGATACATGGTGTCTGTGTGTACGTTTCTATAGGCTTGTAACCTGAGCCAGCACTACAGGAAGAGGCCCTGAGCTGCAAAGGGAAGTTCTTCCCAAGCATGAGAAGACATGAGGATTTAAAAGGAAGAGCAGCAAAGAAAAGGGAAACAACCATGGATTACAGTAAGGCACGCATTACAGTATTGGTTTATGTTAAAAAATCTGAGGGTTTAATGTCACTTTAACTTTAAAAAAAATTTTTTTTTTTATTTGTGTATCACTCGGCTATAGATCCTCCAATCATCTCTGAATTGGTGCTGACACTGTCCTTCCTTCTGGAGGGGGGCTACTTTTCTTCCCCATGGTTCCCTTGTGTGTTGTAAAGTGGTCACCGCACCAAGCTCATGCCTGTGATGGACTACAATCTCATATTTGGTTTACTAATTTGTATTGAGATTGTAGTCCATCACGGGAGGCAATTTTGAGATTGATCTCCTGAGTTTAGGGTCACCCTAAAGTTTATAGTGATTTTGCCCATAAAACCCATGTGGAAACAAGAGAGCCCCATTGCAGACATTTCATACTCACCGTTCCTGGTGCCCGCACTGCCAACCTCTGCTGTAGTCCAGAGAAAGTTCTGTTTGAAGAAGCTGCAGAATCCGACACTTTCAGAAGTGTCAGATTCCTGGTGCTCCTGCTGTTTCTCAGTGCATTGATCCACTGGCCTGTGTCTTGTAGGGACATAAATGGTGGAGGAGAGAACCACAGAATGCAGTGGGGAACAAGGAAGTGTCTGGCCCTACAGCTATCCTTGACTACAGCAGAGATTATCGGCATGGGCACCAGGGTAGGGGAGTATTTGATGTCTTCTTTACAGGTGGCTCTACTTTGCACTTCGATTTTAGCAACATAGTTGCTTCACTGATGCTTCTCAAGTGGTACATTACATTTTCAAAGCCCTCCCCAGAACCATACTTTGTTTTTCTTAATGGTGGCTTTTATGTGTGGTTGAAGACGCTATTTTATAGAAACAAACGTTGTGCTCTGTGAGAATAAACTTCAACTTTTCCAAATGTCTACAATCCAAATTCAAGACATTTTCTGTGGCCATCTTCAGGCTGGAGCTACCATGCGACCCAACCGGACTTTATGTAGTCAGGTTGTCATGGCGAGTTCCATAGTTAGGTGCCTTTATCCGGTTAATATCTGATGACTTGGAAGCATATTTATAAAGCAGATAATCTGAATTTTAGAAACATTCTCTGCAGGTGAATCATTCAGGTTCATGTGTTTTTAATGGAAGCGATTGATTTTCCACTGGAGAATGTTTGGTGACAGTCACATTTACCGATTTATAAACAGACTCTTCGGAGTTTCCTGAACACACAAATGTCTCATGTATAATTCTTGGATGTGGATTTCCATCACCATCGGGCTCAAATTGTGAAAGAGTGGTTCAGGGAGCATGAGGCATCGTTTTCACACATGGATTGGCCACCACAGAGTCCAGACCTTAACCCCATTGAGAATCCTTGGGATGTGCTAGAGAAGACTTAACGCAGTGGTCCTACTCTCCCATCATCACTACAAGGCTTTGGTGAGAAAAGAAATGAATGCAACTCTGAATGGAAATAAATGTTTAAAGGTCCCCCCCCCCCTTACTATTGCTTCCCCCCACTCACCCCCAAAAAAATGAAAAATTCTTCTTCATTACCTTTATTGGCCCTTGTTATATCAACTTTAGGCACCACATTCACAAAATGCTTTTATAATCTCCTTGGGTTCCAATTCCTTTATGAGGGTCTATGGTCCCACTGTTATACACAATTATACCTGCCAACTTTGTTGCTTTAAAGCAAAGAAAAATACCCACTGTGGTGTGGAGCAATCATCACTAGGGAAGGGAGGGCGGGCAGGGAGGTAAATGGCAGGGCAGGAGAGGTCTGTGTTCTTGGTAATACACCAGATTAGAAGTAGGCAGGGCTGACACCACATGCTTAGAAATTCAGAGCCGTGCTGGTGGTACATAGTTGCACAACAATCAGCTTTCTCTGACAATTATATGTGCCGACGCTGCCAACTAGGATGAGTATAAATCAAAGAAAAATGCCCATTGTGATGAAACAGAGCGATCACCACCTCCCATGGCACTGCCCATGGTGATCACTGTGAACCGCATGAATACATTATTATTGGGACTGCCGACAATGTGTAATGAGACTTGTAGTTTGAGTACAACGATGCACATGACTGCAATACATGTGCACTGTTATACTCCATGGCTGGAAATGGAGGTAATACAGGAGCAGTGGAGAGCATGTGGAGGAGAAATAGGTTGGGTGTCTATGGTGTTTAAAATAAATGAACTTCTATTTATGTATTGTTTCTATTATTTTCTACATTTTATCTTTAAACTATTTGATCTATTCTTTATTTCTGTCTATCCACTCCATATGACTAAGTCAGTCTTCTTCCTCCTATTTTCTTATTTCCTATCTCAATAGAATTGAAGTTGTTAATGCTCCCAACATGTTTTGCCACATTAGTGGTTTTCTCAGGGAGGAAAAAAGCGATACATAGTAATGTGCTGGGAAAGGCGCTTTTTTCCCCCCAGACTATTTATTTACATGGCTGAATTCTGTATAAAGCTGTAAACATCTAACGTAGCCCTGCAGAGCTGCAGATAGCCATAGACTGCAGGGACCCGATTAGAACACGAGATGGAGCACAGCGGAGAGAGACGCAGGCACAAGTCTCCTAGGATTTACCAGCTATGCAGCTGTCACCGTCTGAAAGACACACATAATAATGTGGAGCTGAATAAGCAATGATCGCTGACCCAGTCAAGACAGGCAAATGGCTTTTACAAATATTGCTCATTACTAAAAATAAACTTTCATTTCTGTTTCCAACGAGCGGTAAGGGAATATTTAAATGTCACGGTGAACCAGCTCTGAGCCTCACTGGGGAACCTGATTCGATATTGTGCAAAGAGAACTAGGACACGATCTGATGACATTATACCGGTTCTATGTTAAAGCTGAAGTAAAAACAAAACAGAATTAACTTCACTATGTATAAACTAATAAAAACCTTAACATGTCTGTAAACAAAAACACTATTTTATTGTTAATAATAACAATAATATTAATATTATATTGTTATAACTCTAAATATTATTATAGTGCATATAATTGCTGACTTTTTTTTAAATATTACTTTTACTATTTTAAGTAAAATACCTGGTGGTGATCCTGTCAGTTCAATCCACCTTCCTTTCTGGGCATGCAATGCTCTGCCTATGCAGGTCCCCCCTACAGCATTGTCAGTCTCATATTACTTGCCAGACTAATGGACATCATGTCTGCGCACAATGAGGGACATTTATCAAGCAAATCAGTGTCACAGTTAGACACAAATCAGGCTGCCTCTCACTTCCTACAGTCTCTGCAAAAGGTTAACAGTGTAGTTGCGGGACCCTTGCGCCTGTATTCCTGGGCAGGTAAGTGCAAAGCATTTGCAGATTTAATTTTAAGGAAGAGACAGGCACATGATTAAAGGATAAGTACACCTATCCTTTAGGCCCCTTTACGGTGATGTCACTACTCCATCCCAATGCACATATAAAATACTTACCAAGTTGGCCTCAGTGGATTGTTTACATCCTCCAGAGCCTTGGTTCTCAACTGGTGGATCACGACACCATGTTCAGTGGGTCGCAGCGTGCCTTCCACTTTTCTAGGCAAGAGGCTTTTCAGCCTCCCCCTAGCGCAGCCCCCCCAATCATCACCCTTTCTCTCCCTCTCTTGCAGTGTTTCCTTACTGACTCTCCTTTCTTACCTGCCTCGCAACTTCTCTCATCTCTCTATTAGGCCTGTATGTATGTTGTCTATATGTTGTCTATCCATCTCTGGACCGCTTCCAACATATTTACACTCAGACCCACCAGTTGGCCTACTATATCCTAAATGCCACCAACCCACCTCCATGCTACACAAACCTATCGCATGAGACTGTGCAATTAACATATTGTACTAGTGTGAACGGGCCCTCAAAAACACTCACAGACATACACAACCACAAACACATTCTCTCGCACTCACATACGCTCCCAAAAAATGCTTTTTCTTTTTTTTTTTCTTCAAGATTCACCCAGTCTCCCCACCTTACGAGAACTGGAGTAGATCCTCAGCCTGGGGTCCAGTGTGGCCTGCTTTGCTGTAATGGAGCTCCATCCATATGTGCATTGCATGTACAGCTCCTTTGCACACCCTGTAGAGGTGGCAGGAGGCAGAATGTGATGTCACTCCAGTCCAGGCACCTCTACAGGGTACATGACGGAGCTGTGACGGATGGATGGATGGAGCTCCAGCACGGCTATACCCCAGCCCACCCCACCTCGAGTCGACACCGGGCAGCATATTTTGAATGGCTGCTCGGTGTGAGAACTGACAGTGCTGCTGCGACGGGGGGCGGCTGAGGAGCCTCTCATCTAGAAAAGTGGAAGGTATGCGGCGACTCTGAACACTGGGTCGCGACCCACTTTTGGGTCACGACCCACTAGTTGAGAAACAAGGCTTTAAACCAAATGTGACTGCTAATGCTATGCAAATGTTTCCATTGTTCTTCTCTGGTTTCCACTTGACATACTGTACATGCTTTGTCACCAATACATGCAAATACACAGAGACAGATACCCCTGTGTGTACGCTGTGGCTAGCTGTCTTATCGGCATCAGGGCCGGTGCACACCTAGGCGATTTATCGCGTGGACGAAATTGCCTGTCACGCGAAAAGGTGCAGGAGCTATTTTCGGGTGGCTGTTGCACATTTTGGGTCCCATAGACATCTCTATGCATTGAAAACCACACTGTTTACAAAGAACAGATGCGCGAGCGAAAACAGCTCAGCATCTGAACCGCCTCGGTGTGAACCTAGCCTAAAGGCACAGAAGAGCGCAATTGTTGCTCATGACAAAACATTTTCAGATATAACATTTATGGACAGCAGGGAAAGGTCTAAAACCTACAGGCAGCACTTGCTTGCAACAAGAGGACCACCGATAGCAAATCTATGCGGCCATTAGCACGTCTGGCTGTTAGAAGCACTAATTATTGAGAAAGATTTCTCGACCAAGATCACCATGTGAGCAGGGTCCAGTCTGTCCAAAAAAGGCAGAAGGATGAAAAGCAGGACTAAGACCAACGAAGAAGACATCTGCTCCATGTTTATGTTTGGTTCCATGCCTCCTATACCATGAGCCATAATGATGATTTCTAGGGATGCACCGATATATCGGCGCCAAACATATCGGTCGAAAATGGCACTTTTGGCATAATGGCGATACATCGGCGCATCCCTGGTTTCTTTTCTCCCCGCTGGGCGCTGCTCTGTGTTCCAGCGGGGGAGAAAAGAAAGTGACAGCCGGCCGAGCGCTGCGGGACGAGCGCTGTGAGCGGCCGGTGTCTTTCCTCCCACACCGCTCGGCCGCCTATCACAGTGCAGCAGAGCGGTGTGGGGGCGGAGACAGCGCTGTCACCGGAGGCTGGGCTCTCCTCTCTACACCCCTCGATCAGCCTCCTGTAACAGTGCGTCAGAGAGGAGAGCAAGGTACACAGCGATCGCTGAGTGTGTGTACATAATTGAGGATATGGTATGTTAACTATATCCTCAATTATGAATGAATGGGAGTGATCTGCATCACCCCCATTCATTCATAATTGTAGTTATAGTAAACAAACAATGTTCTCATGTTATCAATAAACAGGAACACTCAGAGGATTCCTGTTCATTGATAACAGGGGACACAGAAAAAGAGATTGAGGACTTTGTGTCCTAAATCTCTTTTTCTATTTTTAAAAGGGAAATATCAGGGCTCTGTTTAGACCCCTAATATTTCCCCAAAGCCCCTAAAAGTAAAGTAAAAAATAAAAATATTTAATAAAAAATGAATAAATAAAAAAAAATATAAAAAAATGTAAAAAGTTTATAAAAAATAAAATATTTAAAAAAATTGAAAAATATAAAAAACATTTTCGGTATCGGTTTCGGCCTGATATTTTTTTTAATTTCGGTTTCGTTTCGGTTTTAAAATTTCCATTTCGGTGCACCTCTAATGATTTCTATATGACCCGACACAAATCTGGGCAATTCAAAATTAAAATTCAGTCTAAAAATGCATGAGCAGAGGTTGCAATTAATAAAAGCCATAAGACATAACGATCAGTAGATCTAGAGATACGGGCTGAAGAGTTTACATGTAAATCTTGAGGTTGCCTGCTTAAAGCCCAGCTAAGGGTGGCAGTGATGTGGAGGCATTATATTTCCTTAAGGCCCCATTCACACGTAGCGATATATCGCGCGATTTCCGCCGCGATATCATGCATTTTTGCAGCGTGATATTGCGAGAAGTCGTCGGCTAATAATATTCAATGGAGCTGTCTTAGCTCCATGTCGCAAGTCGCTTCTACAGGACCCTTTTTTCGGCGGATTTTGCTTTTTTCTAATGGAGCCCGACGGAGAAGGTCGCGCTACCGTCGCTGGAACGTAGCCCCGAAAGTCGCGCTATCCCGGCCGCTGCAAAAGGTATGTCGCTACGTGTGAATGGGGCCTAAAGTTGGCTGTAGGTCAGCTTAAAAGCCAATCTCCGGGGAAAACAAAAAACTCCCCTTGCAGCAGGGCTCCCCCCGCACAGCAAGTGTTAAATGCTCAATTTTGCCTACCCATAACAAGCACGTACTTACCTGATGCCCTGTTCTGCCCGTGCCTACATCTTCTCCCTCATAATCTGGTTGTCATAGATCCTCTGCGGTACCCAGGACTGAGAGGACCGGCATAGCGGCTGCTCGAAGAGAGGAGGAGGAGAGATCAGTATTTCCCCCACCGCTTATCTCTCCCACTATTCTCTCTCTAAAGTCAGGTAGCCCCACTGCAAGGGTTAAGTTTCTATTTGCCCAGAGTTCTTATTTTTTTATTCTTTATTTTAGACACAAGTAGCAGAAGTATATTATCCATAAAGCCTGGACAGTAACAAGAGTGGAGTCATGGTATAAAAAACATTGGCAAAACCGCCATTGAATGGACATTGTAGAAAACATTCACAGTATGTAATGAAACAGGCGTGTAAAAAGGCAGTGTTAACAACTTTTTTTTCCAGAGTTCTTCTTTAAGGAAACCTCTGCTTAAACATTTGGTTTTATGCCGTGTTTGAATAGGCCGAGTATGTGGCAGGCTGACTAGCATACATAAAGGGTCACATAAAGAGACAAATATATTTATACCTGTCCGATGCCATCATCCCATCCTTTGATCACTTCCTGTCGTCCTAACCTGAACTTGAAAGGCTTGTTTCTATCCCTGGATGAATCAAACTTCTTCCCATTCTGCAGCATGCCTGGAGAACAAAATTTATGAGAAGGTCATAAATATTGCAGCATGACCAGTGCACAGTAAAAGTGTCAATACACATGCATATCATCTGCAAAGAAGGGTCATGTTAGATCAACCTTTCCCAAACTTTTCGCCATAGCAGAACCCTTGAAACAACCATATCTGTTGTTATGTCAAGGTAACTGGATGAAACGCCTTCAAGAAAAATACAGCAAGTCCAATCAGCTTTCTCAATTCAGAATGACTTGTACAAAAATGATCTGGGAAAAAATATGGTGAATGTCGCTTCAATCCACATAATCTGTTAATTAACCAGGTGTTGATTGTATTTGCATAATTAGAGTCTAGGAGGTGTCATTAACCTGCCCAGAGAGAGGTGTTAAAACAGCATTGTATGCGGCAGACAATAGATGTCTCGCCCCCTGACCTCTATTCAAGCTTGGCTTCCCTATTTTTACATAAATGGCCTCTTTCACACCTCTTTTAAACCAGTCCTCCTCCCTGTCTAGGATGCGTACTTGACGGTCTTCAAAGGAGTGACCTTTTTCCTTTAGATGTAGGTATACTGCCGAATCCTGACCAGAGGTTGTCTGCCACATACAATGCTGTTTTAACACTTCTCTGTGGGCAGGTTATTAACACCTCCTAGCTCCAATTATGCAAATGAAATCAACACCTGGTTGCGATTAACAGATTATGTGGATGGGGGCAACATTCACCATATTTATTCCCAGATAATTTTTGTACAAGTCATTCTGAATTGAGAAAGCTGGTCGGATGTCCAGTGAAACGTCTTCAAGAAAAATACAGCAAGTCCAGTTGCCTCGATTTATTTTTTTACAGATATACCATGACCTGGATAAATGAGAACCGTCACAGACCTTTGAAACAACTTTCAGTTCTCGGGAAAACCCTACTAAGAAATGATTATACCCTGAGTTCACTGAATATTATTGTAAACAATAAGCTGTATAAAGATTTAAATAGGAGAATAAAGAATGTGGCGTACCTTGGATGCTACCTGTTTTCAGTAATAATCTTCAAACTAAAAACATTTTTATGAAATGGTACTATATACAAACTGTGAAAATTGTGGTATCCCCGAACATTAGTAGTGTGTATAGAAACGATCCCTTATATTGGTAGTCCGTTAAATATTGCCCTCCTTGTACTAGTGATCTTTATAAGTGGGGGATCAATTCACCAATGCATACAGCTTAAAGGAACCCCTAGCAAACTCAGGAGGAACCCTAAGGTTTTACCGAACCCTCTTCGAGAAAGGCTGCCCCAATAACTGTTCCATGATGAGATGCCACCAACCTTCCCAATCAATGCATATCAGATGAACAGCCTGGATGATAATTCTTTCTTTGAAAGATCAGACCTAACAAGTGTTCATGAAAAAAAAAGAAAATGTATTGTCCCCTGGACAGCATAGGTGGCTGACGCCCCACTATTTGGTAAGACTTGGCCATCACTACTAAAGGCCAAACCAACTGTAGTATGTCTCCATTGGCCCGATCTCCAGTTGTGGGAGCAAGAGTGAAATGTGATAGCCTTTGTAGTGCTCTATTTATGGCTCATGAACTGGAATATGCAGGACAAGAAGCTTCAGTGCATACAAGACTGCTAATAAGCTTGTTATAATATCTGCTCTTGACTTCTAGGGATTCAACTGGGGAAGGTCCCCGGAAGTTCAGCGAGGTTGCAGGTGCTAGGTATATACAGTCAGTATACACAGTACATACTGACGGTCATATCAGCATGGCCGAATTAAAAACATGGGTGAGTAGAAGGAGATGGCCAGTACTTGAGTTTATGAGTACACGGCATCATCCGAGAATCTTGATCCATCGAGCTTGGAGTGCCTGTTCTGCCATCTTAACCATCTAAAACAATCACTCGTACAAGACTCGGTAGGACTAAGGAACCTTTTGCTTAAGGGTAGTAAGGCTTCATAAGCTGGCCATACACCACTAGAATTTTGTTCAAAAAACATTGTTGTCGGAACATTCATTTGACTTTCTAACAGTTAATGGGGACAAATCGATGATCAATTTTAACCATGGTGGCAAAAAAATTTGTTGAAGAAACAAAATTCTGACATTGAAGGTGTTTTTTGCTTGAGAAAGTCCATCAATTTCCAAAATCGAGTGTTAAAATCAAACTCAATTTCGTACGACATTCGTCAAGTCTCTGTTGGCAAATGTCCTGATGAGCTTTGTTTTTAATGAACATTCTTACAAAAATCTACCATTGTATGGCCAGCTTAAGAGTAGCATTTCATGAAGAACGAAGACCACATGCACACTTCGCCCACCATGAGGCATTAGGATTGGCTGGTGGGTCCACAGAATGTTCTTATCAGCCAAATTTTCCTGTTCATGTCAATGAAAGGGCGGAGGAGGGGATGAGCGGTAGCAGCAAGCAACACTGCTCTCAGCGGAACAAACTGGGGGAGTATTGGGGCACATGTTGTTTTCTTTGAAATCTTGTCTCCAGTTTCCTCCAGCGGCAGCTAGAAGCCACTTTTGTCTCCTATAGACATGAGCTGAAAACCTAGTGGCTGTCATCTTATGTGAGAATGCAGCGACTATGATGGAGTGCCTCCAGCTCCGAATCAGCCAACATGTTCAGCACACGGTTCTGTTTTTAGAAAGGTGGATGAATCACGTTTCAGCCGCTGTTAAGGTTTACACTGGAAGACGTTACAATATCCATCACTACGGCTATGTCAGATTTTCCGTCTTCTCTGGCTCCTGTCACCCGCTCGCAGCATCTGCTCTTCTCGCTACAAACCTGGAGGTCTGGCAGCCGCTGCTGGGAGCCGAGCCAGAGATCTTCCTGAGAAGCAGACTCTAAAATTTTCCATCAGGAAGTTCATGAACAAGCCATCTACAGTACTTGGGACCCCGTGCTCTACGGCGGGGATTCTCAACAAGGGTTATGTATACCCCGGGGGTGACCTATGTAAAAACGAAGTATTCTAATGTGCATTCAGAAACAAGTTGTGTGCATGGACTTCATGTTCCTCATCAAGTTCACGTTGGATGCCTGACAGTGCACGTTCTGTTAATGCATGAGCCTGTAAAAAGCATCCACGTCACTTTATTCTATAGAAAGTAAGCGGCATGATCCAACAGCTAACCACCCCACTGCCAGTATGCTTGGGAAATACCCATTAAGGGGCAAATATATATCCTGCCTTCCCACAAGGTAGTGCTTTGAGTAGGCAATCACCAGACCTCAACACTGTCACGTGATGGTACATAGCCCTGTGCGCCAAAACCAATTAATATCGAATGATCATTCGCCAAGTGTATGATGGCATTATTGAATGCTATGTCCAGACTTATTTGTATGAACATTTGTATGAAACTCTACCAGCATATGGCCATCTTTAGTTTCATCTTGCTCAGCCTCCATCACGCCTACTGAACTTTTCCATCATGGAGCAGCTAGACTTCAACCCATATCTCAAATGGTTATGATTGAGTGGGCTATGAGCTTTAAAATCCCAGCATGCATCGCCAACACTGAAGCTAGAACTTTGGAGGCACCGTCCTTGTACTTTTTATTAAAAAAGTGCAGAAAGCATATGATGCTGAAAACTACAATTTAGTAATTTAGTCTAATATAAAAAGTTAAAGAAGAACTGACCCTAGCAGTAGGGCTACCTATGCACTACAAGGGTTAAGTGCTCGTTTGGTCTAGGGGGCTCAAAGATTTACTCATCTGACCCTCAATCTTGCCCGGTTTCTAGACCGTTCCCTGCAGCCTCCTCTCCCCTGGGCTCCAGTGGTATAAGGACCTGTGGCATCAGGTCTTCTGCATGTCCATTGACTTGCATTAGATATTAAAACGCAGAGGGACATTCCATAGCTGCAGTGGAGCGGGACAGAGGGGAGCATATAAAACAGCTTTGCATACATGAGCACTTAAAGTGACAATGTCAAAAATGGTTTTCCCTCCCCCCAATGTTAATGTCAGCACTTACCCTAAATTATGTTTCTTAGTCCGACCATCTCGTCCATAGACTTACCTTGTGTCTCTCCTCACGTCTCGGCCGAAAATGTGATCTGCGCATGCGCCCGCCCCAAGATGCTTTGCGCCCGCACGAGATTTTTCCCATTTTCAGACGGGAGCGCTCGGGGAAGACACAGGTGGAGATTAATGAAGTAAAAGTCCTTTTTACTGGTACTCTAGGCATAAACTTGCATTTAACCCTTGCAGTGCAGGGGATGCACCACTGAAGAGCACCATACTGCTCATTCTATAAGCAGGCTTTGCTGTGTACTTAGTAGTGCAGCAAATTACTGCGCTTCAATGTTCCAATCACTCCAAATCTATGGACTTAAAGGGTCAGGCCATCTTACATAGGTGTGGAAGACTTGAGTGTTAAACCACATCACCCAAAAGGTGGACAAGAATACAGTAGGTGATACTGCAAAAGGTTGCACTACTTAAAGCCAATTTCCACCTTTGCAGAGGTATTTAAAAAAAAAAAAAAAAATTGCCAGCAATGTACACAGAGTATATTAAGCAGGCATATACAGTTGCTGTATATCAACACAGAAAATCAGCTTTCCTCTTTTTCTCATGAAAATGGCCGCCTCTGTGTTGTGCAAACAATCTGTGTTTATTACAACTGTGCTTTTCACCTCCTCATTCATTAGTATTCATAGTGGCACCCCCCCAGGACAGTGCATTGTGTGAAAAGGCAGAGCTGGTGTTTATTGATCGTGTTACACAGAATCACAGGGAAGGGGGCAGCTGTTTACAGACTGATTTACAATTTGACTCTGGTGTCAGACTGAGTTTCCTGTGTAGAATTTTTTTAATTTGTAGGATTCAGGTCTAATAGCATTTCATAAAAAAAATTAAGAAAGCCTGCAATGTGAGTCATGAAAATGTGCACATGTACACATCATCACTGCACCTCTACATCACTACATTAACTGCGAATCATTCACAAAAGGTGGAAATGGACATTAAAGCGATCTA